TGCTAGCTTTTAAAATCCCAGTCGCTACTCGCCAAAGTAGGAGGTGGAACAATGTTTTGTATAGTATGTTATGCCAATTGAGCTTGATGTCCCCCATAGCAGTGGGTTTTGGTTTTATGTGCCAAGAACTGTGCTAAGTACTTTAGATGTCTTATCATTGCCTCTTGATTCCATTTTTCTATTAGGAGAGGATCATTATTCCATTATACAAATGTCAAAAGTGAGACACAGAGAGGTTAAATGGCAAGAGAGAGGGTAATATAACTAAGTACAGGAAACAAGATTTAAAATTAGATTGCTCTGACTCTAAAATCTTGGCTCTTAACCTCATCCCCTATTGTCTATTTCATGATTTCATCAACTAAATTGGTTTTAATTCTTCAGTTATTCAAACCTTCTTACCTACTGGATCCATTTTATTCTTGTCCACAAATGTTTTGATTTACTTCACTCAAATAAAGATGTTTACCATACAGGCTAAGAGGTCAGGCTCAAGAGTCAGCCTGGGTTCAAATCCTGGCTTGAGCATTTACTTGCTGTGTAACTGATGTGAGGTGTGTTAGCTGGCTCATTCATTCATTACTTGTGAAAGACTGACATTTGCCATGTGCCAGGCACTGTTCTTATTCCATCTTAATCTCTCAGCACCATATTTGTAATCTCTCTAGGCTCCACATTAGTAAAATGGGCAAAACAACTAATAACAAGACTTCAGAACTGGTATGAGAATCAAGTAACATAGATATTAGGAGTACCTGGGTGGTGCAAAAGGTTAAGTGCTTGTCTACTAACTGAAAGATACATAGTTCAAATCTACCCAGAGATGCCTCAGAAAAAAGGCCTGGAAATCTGCTTCTGAAAGGTCTTCTGAAAGAGCATAGCCATTGAAAACTCTATAAAGTAGTTCTACTCAGAAATACATGGGGTCAGCATGACGTGAAATTGACCATGAATTCCAATTTTTAAAATAGTAGATATTATGCTTAAATCATTCAAATATTAATAATAGAAAGCAACTACAGCTCTTTACCCAACTCAATGCTGTCAAGTCAGATCTGACTCATAGCAACCCCTCCTTGGGTTTCCAAGGCGGTATCACTACAGAAGTGGATTACCATATCTTCCTTCCAAGGAGTGGCTGGTGGGTTTGACCCCCAGCCTCCTGGTTAGCAGTCAGATGCCTTAGGCACTACGCCACCAGAGCTCCTTCTTCACCCACAGTAAACAGTAAAGGTATGTAAGTATTACTATGATTATATTTACTCTCCCATCCCTACGGAATATGCGCTTCTTATTCCTTTCCTCTAATAAAATTGTTTTACTTGTTTTAAAAGCCCAGTTCAAGTTTTTCCACCTTCATAAGGCCCTCCCAGCTCTGGTGGTGTAATGCCTACAGAATCTGACTGCTAACCAGGAGGCTGGTGGTTCCAACCCACCAGCCACACTCCTCAGAAGGAAAGTTGGGCAATCTACTTCTGTAACGATATCACCTCGGAAACTGGAAACCCAAGGAGGGAACGCTATGAGTTGGATTCGACTCGACGGCAGTGAGTTGCAGCAGTGAGTTGCGTTGCATTATAAGGATTTACAAAGAGCTCTGGTAGCACAGTGCCTAAGGCATCTGACTGCTAACCAGAAGGATGGTGGTTCAAACGCACCAGCTACTCCATGGAAGCAAAATTGGGCAATCTACTTCCATAAAAATTTACTGCCTTGAAAACCCAATGGGGGTCACTATGAGTCAGAATCAACTTGATGGCAGAGGGCTTTTTTTTTTAAAATAAGGATTTGCCACTTATTTGAAATTGCTTCCTCAGGAGAGTAGAGTGCATCAAACCATTTTATCTTGCATTTGCTGAAATTAGAGGGCTATTGAGATGTTTTACAATTATGCCTTACTCTCTGCCCCACCTCCACCCAACCCCAACTAGGTCATAAGTTCCGTAACAGGGCAGGGACTGTGACTTTTCTTTCAGGAAAATGTTGGCATCCTCCCTGTGCAAATAAAGAAAAGAGGAGGATTTTGTTTTATAAAAGTCATGTTTTAACCAATAGCCATTAATTTAGCTCTATCAAAGATAATATTTAAGTACTGAAAAGTAGGTTCTCAGTCATTGTTTGTTCAACAGAAAAGATGAAAACGAAACAAAGCAGGAGTTAATCAGATCTGCCTTCTCTCTGTGGCACGGTAATATGACATCATCTTTCCCAAGCAACAGCTCTATCATTTCCTGGGTTTTTTCCTGGCTCTGAACATAACTTAAAACATCGTTCTGTGGTTTAGGTGCTTCACAATTTTCACATCATTCCAGGCTTAATCTGAAGGAAGAATTACAATCTATGACAATCATTTGGTCATTCATTACATCCTTTTAAAATTTAGCAAGAACGTGTTTCTTCTTCATCAGGACTATCTTTTGTGTTTAGACAGATTATATAATTTTAGAAACTTCAGTCCCTTTAAAGTAATTCAGTTTTTAACTTCTTAGCAACACCATAAAAAAGATTTTTCTTTCAAAATTTTAGGAAATCTGGTTTTCTAAACTCTAAGGAAATCACTTAACTATACCAAGCATTCCCAGTCTTTACTCTTAGTACCTCCAAGAAGACAAGTCTCATTTCTCTGAAGCCTCTATCAGTCCCACTTCACTTACTGTTCACACTTAACTCAATACAGAGCAGTTTCTCCTGTTCTTGCAGGGTTTCAGAAGACTATATTGAGTCATACTGACAAAAAGAGTCAGTAATTTATCAAATGTTTTTCTCTTAATCAGAAGATTATTCGAAGAGTATAGCACCACAGAACAGAGTTACTGTACCATATACACAGTTACCAATGTCCTGATTTTCCTCACATAAGAGAGAAACAAATCCATGCAATTATAATGTGAACACACAAACTGCCCATTTTTAACCACAGTGGTAGCTTGTTTATTTTCACTACTAACTGATCAGGGAGCTGTACAAAATCATGCAAACAAGTTTATATATGGAGTATATTCTAAGTAGTACATTACAAGACTAGTGATGAGAAGGCTTTTGTCCTGTGCCTATTAGTAGAACTGTATATCGTCTCTTCACATATATGTTCGTCTAGGTACGGAACAGTGCTGAAGGTGCAATGTACCTGAGCATCTCAGAACTTGAAAGACACTCCATCTCAAGCTAGTGGTGTAAAACAGCGCACAAAGCTAAGAAATGTGCAGAAGGAAAGGGAGAATGTTGAAAATTACTAGAAGGGAGGCCTATTACAGAAGCCTCAGCTCAGAACTGTTTATGCTTTTGCATGTGTAGTCAACCACTTTTCAAAGCGCCCTCTGATGGGGTGAGTGTAGGTTTTATAATCAACACTCACCTTTGGTTTCTTAAAACTATAAAAAGTAAATGAGAGCGCTAAGAGGGTGCAAGGAGCGCTGGTGGTATAGTCCCTAAGGTATTTGACTGCTAACCAGAAGGCTGGCGGTTCAAACCCACCAGCCACTCCTTGGAAGGAAGACTGGGCAATCTACTTCTGTAGAGATACCAACTCGTTTTCATCTTTTCTATTAGAACAAACAATGACTGAGAACCTATTTTTTAGTACTAAAACTATGAGTTGGAATTGACTCAATGGGAGTGAGTTTGGTTTTTTTTTTGGTTCCAGGAGGGAAAATAGGAGCTCTGGTGGCATAGTGCCTATGGTGTTTGACTGCTAACCAGAAGGCTAGTGGTTCAAACCTACCAGCCACTCCTCAGAAGGAAGGTTGGGCAATCTACTTCCATTGTGATACTGCCTTGGAAATCCAAGGTTGCTGTGAGTCGGATCCAACTTGATGGCAGTGAGCTGTTGTTTTTTTTTTTTTTTTGGTTTAGGAGGGTACATAAAGGCCACCCATAAAGTAACTTCCCATCAAGATATGTTGTTATGTGCTGTTGAGTCAGCCCCGACTCACAGTGACCCCTCCTTGGGTTTCCAAGGTGGTATCACTACGGAAGTAGATTGCCCAACCTTCCTTCCAAGGAGTGGCTGATGAGCTTGAACCGCCAGCCTTCTGGTTAGCGTCAAGCGCCTTAGGCACTATGCTATAGAATTTTTTTCTCATCCTAGAAGTAATGGTAGTTCTATATTCCACTTAATAATTAGTTAGTATACCGTTAGATAGATAGAGATAAATATTGATTTGGGTGAAGAGAAGGGCAATTACCAAATGTGAGTGATCAATATGGTGGCACTGAGGAAGAAAAAGACATAGAGAGGTCCATGGGAGGTACAGACAACAAAGATGAACCCTTTTGCATGTACAGCACTGCGTTGTCAGTGAAGGCAAACATGGGTATACAGGTGAATAGACAGGTAGACAGGCTGAACTAGTAGGTATTTCTATGAAGCGGGGAGTGTGCCCAAGAACATGTATAGCATTGGCAGACAATGGTCCTATAAGTTTATTTGTATGATCTGAATTCCCAGGTGTATAGTAGAGCTGACAAGGGGCAAGGTTGTAGTCACTGTTTGGTCACAGCCAGCTACCCAGAGGGACCAAGCAGTTGAACCTGTGAGCTTGGGACCATAGTCACAGGGGACATCAAGCTCAATTGGCATCACATACTACACAAAATATTGTTCTACCTCCTACTTTGGCAAGTAGCGACTGGGATCTTAAAAGCTTGCAAACTGCCATCTAGATGCAATGATGGGTCTCTCCTTATCTAGAGCAAAGAAGAATGAAGAAAACCAAAAATTCATGGAAACAATGAGTCCTAGCAATGGGTACACCATCCAATCTGCAGCCTATATGACTATGAGATCAGAAGAACTAGATAGATGGTGCCTGGCTACCACTGTCAACCACTTCATAGGGCATCTATGTAGGAGATACTGGATAGAGAAGGAGAACAATGTGGAACAAAACTCAAAATCATTTGGAGAAAAAAGAAAAGGGGGGGTGGTGGACCAGGTTTGCTGGTCCAACAAAGCCTGGTGGAACCACTGAGACTATGGACCCTAGCTGCCATTCTGGTCTGGAATTGAACCCACACCTGTGGCTTCCAGCCAAACAAAAGACAGGCATAAGAGTTGAATATTTACCTGAGGTAGATACACTCCTTGGAGAGAACAATCATAGGAGAAAGAAGGCCTGTTTATACACAAGGAGACAGCTCAGGGGGCAGGAGTTCATGGAGGGATGGACACAGGGAAGAGGTAACTATCAGGAAGAAGTGGGAGGGGAGCTGTTGCATTGTGTTAAATTGTGGTCAATGTTGTGAGACAAAGTGTATGTGAACTGCCATATGGAAAGTGAATTTGCTCTGTAAATCTTCACCAAAATCAGAATTAAAAAAAAAGAAAGAAAGAATAAATAAATAGTTAATATACTGTGAATTTCACTGAGTTTGCTATAAGGTGATCTTGTTTTTGTATTGAGGTCCCAGTCCATGATTTTAAAGAGGAAAGACAGAGAACCTCTAGGTAAGCTCTCATTCAAATTTACTAACAATGTCATAGTAAAAGAATATTTCCTTTATTTCCTAAGAGCAATAACTTTTTAAAAAAAGAAATTTAAAACAAGACTGTACATATGCTTTAAAGGTGTTTTTAAGTAAAAAAGAGTTGTTGTTGTTGTTGTGTGCCGTCGAGTCAGACCCGACTCATAGCGACCCCTCCTTGGGTTTCTGAGGCAGTATCACTACAGAAGTAGATTGCCCCATCTTCCTTCCAAGGAGTGGCTCGTGGCTTTGAACCGCCAGCCTTCTGGTTAGCAGTCAAGAGCCTTAGCCACTATGCTACCAGAGCTCCCTAATTAGCAGGTAGATGAAAATATTATTTTTATGGATACATTAAAAATATATATGTGTACACAGACACGTGTGTGTGTGTGTATAATTGTTTCCTATTTTGACACATCCCAAAGAATTGCTGCATACACCCCAAGGTGCACATACCTCATTTTAGAGACTCTTAACATCAATGGCAATACACATAAATCACTAGACCACCACTACCTCTGTGACAGAGCCTCCCTCTTACATATGGCACAGTTAAGAATTCTTTCCTTCTACCTCCCACCAAAATATTCAAGGAAATATATTTTGACATAACATTCATTTAATTTGAAATTAAGGCAATATAAATAAAAAAAAAAATCACCAGCTTACATCTCTGGAGAACTTGATTTAAGTTGTCCTGCATTGTCTCTCTACATTTGGGAACAGTATGTTCATTTGTTTCATGGATCATATTCTTCAAATTTTCAAGAACCCTCATTTCCCGAAGACCACGTTTTTCCTATTAATAAATAAATAAATAAATGACTAGTACATATTGTGTTTTAAATCTTAGTAATTGCTTTTTGGAATTTCTACCTGGGTTTTGCTTATTATATTGTTACTTATTACTGAAATTTTTACAGACTTCTGGTTTCTAATTATTTGGCAGTGAATGAGGTAACAACCTGGAGGCATTTTTTTTATTATAAAGTACTCTAAAAGTTGCAATATGAGCAGAATTTTCATGGTAATGTTTAAAAACAGGCAAGAAAGAGAAATGAAAGAAGGGGCATTACTACCAACTTTATAGAAATAAAAATGATTATAAGAGAATACTATGAACAACTGTATGCCAACAAATTGGATAACCTAGATGAAATGGATAAATTTTTAGATACAAATAAATTATCAAAACTGACTCAGTGTTGGGCTGAGGGGCTCAGGACCATAGTCTTGGGAGACACTAAGGTCAACTGGAACAACACAGTCCACAAAGACAATGTATGACATTCTACTCTGGTGAGTAATGAGTAGAATCTTAAAAGACTGTGAGCGGCCATCTAAGATGTAACTATTGGTCTCTTTCTGTCTGAAGCAAAGAAGAATGAAGAAAATCAAAGATGCATGGAAACAATTAGTCCAAAGGACTAAATGAACCATGTGAACCCCAGCCTCCATTACCCTGAAACCAGAAGAACTAGATGGTGCCTGGCTACCACTGCTGACTGCTCTGAAAGGGATCCCAATATGGGGTCTTGGACAGAAAGGGAGAAAAGTGTTGAACAAAACTAAAAAGCATAAAAAAGACCAAGCTTACTGGTCTGACAGAGATTGGTGAAACCCCCAAGACTATGGCCCTTAAATAACCTTCAAGCCTGGAATTGAACTCACCCCTCAACTTTCATCCAAACAATAGACAGACCTAGAAGGTGAACCACCAGGTAAATCCACACTCATTAACACATTAACAAGATTAAAAGGCCAGCACGTGTAGGGTTAATGCTCAAAAGGCAGGAAGGGATAGGAAAAAGGACAAAGGGAAAGGGTAAACTCAGGGAGAAAAGTGGGAATATTGCTATTAAATTGCGGGAATTACAATAATTGTCAAAAGGTGTATGGATTGTTGAACAGAAAAGCAAATTGCTCTGTAAATTTTCACCCAAATCATAATTAAAAAAAAAAAAAAAAAAAATACTGACTCAATGAGACAAAATCTGAATAAATGTTTAACAAAACAAAGAGACTGGATCAATAATCTAAAATCTCTTTACAAATAAAAATTCAAGACCAGATGGCTCTTCAGTGGTGAATCCTGTTAAAAATTTAAAAAAGAATTAATACCAATCCTCAAACTCTTACAAAAAATGAAGAAGCAACACTTCATAACCAAAGCCAGACAAACATATTACTGGAAAACTACAGACCAATATTCTTTATGAATACAGATGTAAAAATCCTCAAAAAAATATTGCTGTTGTTGTTGTTATGTGCCATTGAGTCAGACCTGACTCATAGCGACCCCTCCTTGGGTTTCTAAGGCAGTAACACTATGGAAGTAGATTGCTCAACCTTCCTTCCAAGGAAGGTTTGAACCGTCAGCCTTCTGGTGAGCAGTCAAGTGCCTTAGGCACTATGCTACCTGCTCCTCCAACAAAATATTGTTGTTGTTGTTGTTACGTGCCATCGAGTTGGCCCCGACTCATAGCGACCCCTCCTTGGGTTTCCGAGGCAGTATCACTA